AATTATTGGCAGAGCAAATCAATTTTTATGTCGTTCCTGTTTTCGATCATCGACTTGGAACATGTTTTAATAATGATTATTCACGCAGCAGTTGATCGGTGTTCCGAAACATTGAACTTTTCATGCTCTAAAACAGGGGTGTCAAACTCAAAAGCTAACTTGGGCCAAATAAACAATGCTTAATTTTAGGTGGGTCACAAAAAAAAAGTCAATGTTTATAGAAACAAACATTTTTATTTTGACTAGTATTATACATTGTAATAAACATATATAAAGTTAAATTATTGTTTACGTCCTGATACTTGACATCTCTCGCAAAAATGTTCATCTCGGGCCGCGAGTTTGACACCTCTGCTCTAAAACAATTGCATTTTGCGAACGATTCTAAGAAAAATTGCTGCAATTGATCGAAGCAATGATCGTAGCTTTCCAGGAAAATGTTTTTAATGGACAAGACATTCCTCGACGTTGTTGCACGCTTCCAACGTGTTCTTCATTATGCAATATACGCTACACCAGATGCACTAGTGCAGATCTGCACGTGCATCGATTGAGCGCAATCTATCTTTGTGAATTGAGTTGGAACAGAACCAAATACTCCACCAAGGTCAATGTAAAATGGCAGATGACCGTAGACGACCTAAAACCTTCGAAAAAGAGCTGCATCTCGAATTTTTGGGATACCTCTCGTTTATTAATTTTAGTTCAATTTTTGTTATTTCTCTTTACTTCTTTTTATTTTTCGTTAATTCTTACTGTATTATTAAATCAACGATTGAATTAACGAAACTAGAAGCAAAAATGTTGTTGGATAAACTAGAATATTTAAAACTAAGAATGTTTATAACTGTATATTTTTTTTAAAAAGGATCAACCAACTTTCAAGATACATGGCCCGGCAGAAAAATTCTTGGTAATGAATTTTATATACATTTCCAGTGTCGGTTTTGCATAAAGTGTCACGTTTTCTCGGACTGCTTATGAATTATTACTCATTTGCTGTATTAAGAACGTTCTCCCGCGGTTAACTGAGAATTACTAATGGAATAATTGCGATGCACGTTTTAAAATTTGATGATTAACCCTTTGCACTCGAGTGGCGACTCCAAGGTACAACTAAAATTCTTATGTCACGTGCGAAAATAATTTTTATGTTGTCAAAGTTTAGATATAAAAAATTGTCAAAAGTGTAACTGTTTAAAGTTGTAACTAAGAAGATTCAATTATACACGCATAAAATGCACTTTGTCGTATAAAATGGAAATGCAATAAGTCGGAAAGATTGTTTTAGATTCACACAGTTAAAATGGCTTCGAGTGGAAAGGGTTGATACTACTTTTTTTCTGACGATCCACAGGCATAAAATTCATATTTACGGCAATTACATTCGTCCAAAGTTATCAATTTCTCCGAAACAATTAACAAGATTTGCGAAGATTTGCGTTTGCCAAGACGCACGAAGGTTCTCTACAAGTATCGGCACGGTTCGTTAGCGCAGATATTGCGCGTTAATTCTCGAAGTCCGTATATACGCGGCAATTAAGAGATTACCCACCCTGCCGTCAAGCGAAACCGATAATAAGGCAGCTGCATAAATGTCTTGAACGTCATTACACGCTCTCGCATGATGCTGCCGTGCGCACCGTTTCATCAGAATTCGGCAGTTTCGATGCGATTTACCGAATTCCTCGATTTTATGCGATCGCAACAAGGATTACAAGGTAAATTATCAAAACACTTGAAATCCTGTATAATAAATATTCTCCTTTTATTTCATTGGAAATCAATTTTTATTTAAATTTAACTAGAAATTAATTTTTGTATCAATTTCATCAGAAATCGATTTTTATATAAACTTAACTAGAAATTCATTCTTATATTAACTTAATTAGAAATTAATTTCTATATCAATTTAACTAGAAATTCATTTTTGTATCAATTTAATTAGAAATTAATTTTTATATCAATTTAATACGAAATTAATTTTTATATTAATTTAACTAGAAATTCATTTTTGTACCAATTTAATTAGAAATTAATTTTTATGTAAATTTAACTAGAAATTAATTTTCATGTCAATGTAATTGGAAATTAATTTTTATACCAATTTAATTAGAAATTAATTTTTATACCAATTTAATTAGAAATTAATTTTTATACCAATTTAATTAGAAATTCATTTTTATATCAATTTAATACAAAATTAATTATTATATAATTTTAACTAGAAAATAATTTTTATATAAATTTAACTAGAAATTCATTTTTATATAAATTAAGTAGAAATTAATTTGATTGAAAATTTAACTTAATTGCTTGTGTTCTTGAGCTTCAAAGTCGCATCATTAGCGACTGGATTCGGCAAGAGTTGTTTATCCCGCGTTGATCAGGCGCGGTATTAAGTCAATACCAATTAAAAATCTTACAGTAAACTAGAATTTAAGGAGAAACCCTTAAGATTACGTTTCGCAGGAACCGAAATTGGTTGGAAAAGAGCGGAAATGAAGCTCGCGGCAATTTTCCTTTGGCTTTTCGTGAGCTTCCCGCGGCCGATCGAAGGCCATAGAATCCTGTGCCTGTTCCCCTTTAACGGGAAGAGCCACTTCAGGATGTTCGACGCTCCGTGCAAGGGATTAGCACGGAAAGGACACCGGATCGGCGCGATCAGCCATTTTCCGACGAAAATGCCGGCCCGACAACTACACGGATATCGTTGACCTGAGTGGCACCAGCCCCCGAACACATAGTTAATGGTTTCTCCGCGGTGTCCGGGAAAGCCAACGCAGGAAGCGATGACGTACTGCATCGCGACCAAGTTCGGCGGCGATTTGTGCGATTTAATGGGCCACGAAAAGATGCGGAGAGTTTATCGGGAACCCGGCCGGCAGATCCGCGGCACGATCTCGTAATAACGGAGGTAAATATGCTAAATCATAATTATCGGGCCGAGTCAGAAATAAATTTCACCGCGGCCGCTGAACACGCGATGAGTAATATGATATTTAGCAACATATCGGGGTCAATGAGCAACACATGCTTCCGATTTTGCTAGATTGCGCGGCCGATTATGCCCGGTGCTCCGCGTCTCTTTTAATCACGCCCGCTGTTCGTCGTGCTCTTCATATTCTCGGTTCTTTTTTTTTCTCTTTTCCTTCTTTCTTTTTTTTTTTACATTTACACGATGAACACGACATTGCGAACAGTTTTTAAACACCGGCATTGTTGTTTCGCACGAGACCTCGTCGAATCTTTAACGCGTCCGCTACCACAGCAACACACATGCGCAACGACCATGACTTTCTGTTTCGCGTCAAGAACCGCGAGCGAATTTCTGTGAATACAATTCTTTGAAATTCGCAACACGTGGCACGATAATTTAAGCTTCTCTTGCACGACGCTTTTATCATGTTTTACAGATCATATTTTATATTTTATGAAACTCGTTCGCGATAGTTACAGAATATTCTTCTAACTTCTATAGTGAGAAACTATAGTGTTTCGGATCTACGTGTCAATAAGACAAAAAATCGTGTATTCTCTTCGCTGTTTGTTTTTATATTATTATATTATTATTATATTATTATTNATTTTGCTAGATTGCGCGGCCGATTATGCCCGGTGCTCCGCGTCTCTTTTAATCACGCCCGCTGTTCGTCGTGCTCTTCATATTCTCGGTTCTTTTTTTTTCTCTTTTCCTTCTTTCTTTTTTTTTTTACATTTACACGATGAACACGACATTGCGAACAGTTTTTAAACACCGGCATTGTTGTTTCGCACGAGACCTCGTCGAATCTTTAACGCGTCCGCTACCACAGCAACACACATGCGCAACGACCATGACTTTCTGTTTCGCGTCAAGAACCGCGAGCGAATTTCTGTGAATACAATTCTTTGAAATTCGCAACACGTGGCACGATAATTTAAGCTTCTCTTGCACGACGCTTTTATCATGTTTTACAGATCATATTTTATATTTTATGAAACTCGTTCGCGATAGTTACAGAATATTCTTCTAACTTCTATAGTGAGAAACTATAGTGTTTCGGATCTACGTGTCAATAAGACAAAAAATCGTGTATTCTCTTCGCTGTTTGTTTTTATATTATTATATTATTATTATATTATTATTATTATATTATTATATTATTATTATTATATTATTATATTATTATTATATTATTATTATATTATTATTTTTAATTAGATAATTTAACCTCGACTGAATATCTAATTATCTACTCATTTTAAAGGAATCCATTAATTTTATACAAAGTAACAATTTCACATTTAATTTCGCCTTAAAACTAGGGTATATATATAAAAATACCGTATATATAAAAAAATATAGATAGGATAAATTAAAAAATAATATTAAGATTGCGTTTCAAAATAGAATCAACATTTATACCTTAACCCTAATCGAAACCAAAGAAGAGATGAATTATTGCTAATAATACCATTGTTTACGTATACAGATTGAAGAAACATAAAAAACAACTTCTAATTCTAATCACAAATGGAATTAATCGAATAACTTTCGAAATGGCCGCGTCTAAAAATGCGGTCGCTAAATATTGCGATTAAAAAGAAGACGTCTCACGATTGCTGCATGTGACTCGAGAGACCTCGTTCAACATTTTCTCGCATCTGCTTGGCGCGGGTAAAAAACGCGACGAGCGCAGAAAATCCGCAGCACTTATCGGAGCGCGGAAATAGATCAAGCGAGTGCGGTGACAGGTGATTAATCATTTTCGGTACATGGGCGCGGTTTGCTATTTGGGATTCGGTCGTCTTCTGAACGCGCCAATAGCGATGATCGCCGCGTCTTTCATGCGACCGCGGGTCGTCGACGATTTCATGGGAAACCCTCGCAGCTACGCGCGTTCTTTCCCGGCGCGCATAACGAGAACCCTATGGCGGACACTCTGATCGATCGACCATCGAACGTCCTGTCGAACATCTGGCACCTGTGGACGTTCTATCGGTGCACGTCCGATCAGACCGAAGTAATGAGAAAGCATTTGGGTCGTGACGTACCCGACGTCCGGCAATTGCAGCGCAACGTTCGCTTCGGCGATAGCGAACGACCACCATAGCATCGACGGCGTCAGGTTTCGTCACGGTCGCCGTTGTCAACGTCGGAGGAATCCACGTCGAACTCGACGACGCGGAATTGCCTTTGGTAAATTTTCTTTTGTATAAAACGGAAGATCGTCTAGGAATTTTTATTCTCACAAATTCTTTTCCGTGAAGGAAACTTCGATGGATCGTCGGGAAATTTGTGTTCTCGTCGATATTCTTTCACGAAGCAAACTTCGAGGGATCATCTGGAAATATTTATTCTCGTAAGTTTTCTTTTATATAAAGAAAAATATTATTATTATTATTATTATTATTACTATAAGCTTATTTATTTTAGGGCAGTGGCATTAACTGCGAGGTCATTAGCGCACATTATAGCAGTCATTAGTGGCTTACAATAAACTATAAATTAACTATAATAAATAATATATAATAAATAATAATATATAATAATATATAATAAATAACTATAATAAATAATAAATATTATAATAATATTATATAATATTATAATATTATATTATATTATAATATTATAATATAATAATTATATAATAAATAATAGATGTAAATTATATATAATATAAATTAACTATATAAAGCCCTATATCCTAGGATTATAATTAAAATGTACATTGACACGAGCAACAGTACCAGAAAATTGTAACGAGTCGCACAGATTCATGTTTTTAAAGAAGTGAAGGACGTTCATTTAATTAATAACAATTAATTGTGTGATTAAGGCGTGCAATAAGGCCTAGTAATGAAATTGAAAGATCTGGAAATGTAATTTACAGAACAGAGGAACACGCGAGCGTTTATTACACACGGCGGTCTCATGGGCAGTTAGGAAGCAATCTATTATGGAGTTCCTATGATAGGAATTCCATTATTCGCTGATCAAATGAAGAACGTTAACATTTTTCCTCGGAAAAACGTGACGATCCCGATGCGCCTGGAAAATATCACTGAACGGACAATGGTTTGAAAGCCGTCTTGCACGATCCGAAGTACATGTGAGCATTTCTACATTTCTTAATTATTTTTTCTTATTATTTCTGTAAAAACCACTGCTCTCTCCTTCATATTTATCCAATCAAGTAATTAATTAAGCATCGAGTTAAGCAATTAATTAAGCAACGGATAAGATAACGTGCAAAACGATAAATAAAACAACGAGTAAAATAATAGTTTAAACAGTGAATAGAACAATGATTACGACGATTATAGCTAAACAATGAATTAAACGTTGAATTAAACAATGACTTAAACAATGAATAAAACAATGAGTAAGACGTTGAGATAAAAAAGTGAATTAAACAACTTATTAAACACCGATTCGGTAATCGTTTGTCTCCCGAATAATACTAGATAATGCTGACATAACTTGTAGGAAATCTGTCGATCATTTATCGCGACTGTTTCGAGATCGTCCGATGAGCGCAATAGGCACGGCCACTTATTGGATCGATTACGTGATCAGAAACACGGGCCGGATTCGTTGAGATCGCCGGCAGTAGGCATGACATGGTGGAAACTAAACCTAATCGACGTGTTCGCCGTGATAATATCCAGCCTCGTCATCTTCGTCACAGCAACAGCGATAGCAATTAATGCGCTGTTTATCGAAAATCTGTCGGCGTGATAGCCGAACGGGAAAGAAGATAAATTGAACGGAATCGGACCTAGCGCTATCGACGAGAAATTACTAAAACAGTTCAAGCAATATGGTAATGCCGAGGTGTTGATTTAAGAGAGAGAGAGAGAGAGAGAGAGAGAGAGAGAGAGAGAGAATTTTCAGTGGGGAGTGTCTTGAATAATAACGAGGCTCCGGGGAAAATTGAATCTTCGAGATCTGGCAGGTGTCTAAGTACGCCTGGACCGCCTCGAACGAAAATATCGGGCGTTCCTTTCATGGTCGGAGAAGTGTCTTCGGTTGTTTGTTTCGTACTGGTCGCAGATGCTACTCGGCAGACTGTAAAAGCTAGCCGATGTTGTTATTTCCATGTTGTATAAATAATAATAAATGCTAAGTCGAGGTATGAGATCTCGTCGAATTGCCATAAAAATTTGAAACTTCTCCGAACAAGCGATTTATTTGATTTGAGTAATTTCTTTTGAAATTAATGACACTCTTTCTTAAATATTTTATAATTTCTTCGTTCGTGAATTTATTTAGTATATGTACCGTATACGACACTATGGCGAAGATGTATATCTAATAACAAAAAGAATGATTAAACTTCATTTTAGGCAGCATCCTAACATCCTCTAGCCAACTGATAATAAATAAATTAATATATTGTTGGTCTACTCGCGGAAACAACATAAACGGAAATCCACAAGCTCGAGGATATTGATCAATCCTGCAACGATTTTCTTAAACTTCAGCAGAATTAATTACTGTTTGAATGTATTAGTTTTAAATTATTAATTACTATGGAATACGTTCGCAATATTGAAAAATATTAGAAAAATGACCAGAAAAGTTTCGCAGAAGTAAGAACAGTGGCTTAAACTATTTTCGTTGAAACATCGAGTGTCCTCGCGAGGATTAACGGAGTCCGCGGTCTCGTTCGAGATCCGAACCAACAGCAAAATGCGCGAATTTGCATAATTCGCACCGCGTTCTCTGTTACATAAAACCGGCAAAAATGTGCAACATCGCGAAGAGGAAGACGAGCTCGCTCGCAGCTTCTTCGCGAGTTTCTTCTGGTCGCGGGATGAAGTTCGAATTAGGCGAAATGACGCGGGGCAGAAAATATACGAGAGCTTCGAAGCGAGAGACAAAAGCGGAGCGAAATGAACGCGCGCCGATCCCGACGGCCGACGGAACCGTTTTAATTGGAAACAGAAAGCGAAACGATTGGAAACCGCCGCGACAGAGCATAACTCGCGTTCGAACTCCTAGAAGCAAGCATGGAAGGTGTCGGAAATTATTCGAACTTGTCTATTATTCGAAAGCCTCTCGGCCATTGTCGAGCGAAATCCGTCGCGTCGAAAACAACTCCGGTGAAATGCAGGGTTCCCCGGAAAGAATCATCCGATTTCAAAGATTTATATTTTAAAAAATTACACACAGAAAATTATAATTCGAACACGAATGTAACGGGAAAATGTGTGAGTTTTTGTTTACAAGTGTTCAATATGACTTCCTTTCGTTACGCGTATGATATCATTGCGATATGAAAGTTCTTGCCAAACACGGTGTAATGTATCTCTGGTAATTGTTCGTACAGCATCACAAATGCGTTTTTTCAGTTCATTTACACTTGTAGGTAAAGGTGGTACAAAGACAAGATCCTTCACAAATCCCCAAAGGAAGAAGTCGCATGGGGTTAGGTCGGGTGATCTCGGAGGCCAACTGTGTAGAACTGTTACCGTGAATGACCGAAATTGGAGAATGTCGACTTTCACCGGTGAATGTCAACAGATACCAAATACGTCGGTGAAAGATCGAATATTTCATTACATTGTTGTACATTCGGACCCCCTCCGGTGTGTGTCGACAATCACAGATATGCTCTGGTGGAGGTCCAAAACCTGTCATTGCAAAAGGAAGTGTTCCACAAATAAATGCAGTTGTAAAAGCAAGGGACTCTTGTGCAATTCAAAGTGTCATAATAGTTTAAGTTGTTGC